CGGTGTGCTTGAAAAGACGGCAAACTTCAAGGCTGGTTGTAGATTTCTGAATCTGAAAGCTTTTCCAAGTCACTGACTGTAGACTGGTATTGGTTTCAAAGTCCACTGGCTGTCTAGAAATCCGATTGTCAACTTGAATAACCCATCCAGATTCCATCCCCTTGTGGTTTATGTAGTCCACCTTAGGAATACCGCAGTCTCTCATCATTATAATCAGCAAGACTGGCCGGACGCTCCTGCTGCCCAGTCTGCCAAAGACGATCTGGGAGACGAAAGCAAGAATAAGGACAATTTGCTCTAAGGTTTCTGAACATCTAACGAGGATTTTGGACAACTGATTTACAGATTAGCTTCCTTGGTGTGAGTATTTCCTACTGTTTCAATACGGTATGAGATAACTCAAATATCAACTGAATCATAATAACAGAATATCTTGAATAGCAAGGAGGAGGAAATCTCACCTAGCCAACTTTTTACGCAGACAGTTAAACAAAAGATGTGGCAGCAGTTCCCCTCATCTTGAAGGGGAAAAATCAGTTCTGCCTAAAGATACAAGCTGGCAAGTCAAAGAGAGTCCCCCTTAACTCTTCTTCACATGTACTCTGGTATGGGGAGGCATAAAGGTACAATGTCAATGCACGCTAACATGACTGAAGTAAAATCTGTCAATTGGCACTTCTGGAAAAGGAAATTTAGCAAGAACAATTTGTTTACAGAGGGCTGAAGAAGAACCACTTCATTACATTAGTAGCACCTCATTCGGTCTTGGTGCCCTTCTGCGCGGCTAAGTCTATTTTTGCATCAAGTCAGCTAGAAGCATCTGTTGCACCTCATTGACTCTATTTGCCTTCTGGCTAATCTTTATATGATAAGATCAGCAATATTATATCTTATTCATGTCAAAATTTATATTTTTGCACATTACGCCTTCTATTTCTCATGGAATGCTTTGGTAAGTTTTGCAGCATCATAGCCCGTGTCTTGCCATCAGGTTGAAGGCCTCTTTCACGCATTTCCGTGTACAGCTTCTTAGCCAAATCAATCTTTCCTGTTAAAAACATCCCTTGAATAGCAGCATTGTAAAGTGATCCATTTGGTGCAGAAAGCTGCAAAATATTAAGTATAGAATTGAAGCAACTTAGTCCTGGATAATGATAGTTTGATAGTTGCTATGCTTCCTTCCTCCCTAATCACTTCCATCCAATGCCAAAGATATCTTTTTTAAACTTTAAGGAATTGAACAGAGAAATAATCAAGTTAATAATCAACACTTCCTGTTGTTTTTTCCCAATAGGTTTGAGTTTCTGATATTCCAAATTGCAGCATCAGCAAGTTTACTCTCAAATAAACTCTTACCCCAAAAAAGAGAAAGAACAATCAAATCCATAATCGCCTTTCTCAAAACAAACAATAAAACAACCAAATCAACAGTTGTAGCATATTCTCTGAGTCCATAAACTTAATCTATATGCAATATGGCAGAGAAGTTGAAGAAGGGAATAGTTATGTTACAAGTGCAATAAATGTCTTGACTTACTTTTAGTATTTCCACTGCTTCATTCCAGAGAGAACCCCAGATGCAAACTCTCATCAACGACAATAGAGTAAATATGTCAGGAGAATGTTTTTGGCGAACCATGCGGTAATAAACTTGTAGCGCAACCTTGGGCCTTCTCGCTACCTCACAAGCTCCAATTACTTGATTATAGGATGCAGTTGAAACCGGGATTTCGGAAGCCTCCATCTGCCACAGTATCTGTACAGCTTTGTCCCACAACCCAAGCCTGTGGCACGATGTCAAAATAGTATTGTATATATGCACATTCAAAATGACACTTTGAGGATTCCTGATTCTCTCAAAGAGCTGAAGTGCCTCTGAATATCGATTTGCCCTGTTTAAGGCATTGAGCAATGAATTCCATGTGTACGCATCAGGTGCATGACCTAATGATTTCATCAACTCATAAACTTCAAATGAAAGCTTGACTTTGCCAGCTTTTCCAAGTGAGTTTATCACAGCGTTGCATGCTCTTGCATTTGGCTTCAGCTCGTTGTCCAACATACATTGCAAGACGTTCAATGCAGAGTCATACTTACCCTCCCTAGTGTATGCTCCAATAATAGCATGCATTGTATCACCTTCAGGGCTCAATCCATTTCGAATCATCTCACTGTACGCATCAATAGCTAATTCATTCTGACCACAACGAACAAATGTGCAAACTAGTAGACGGTAAGTGACTATCGTTCCAACTTGACCATTATCCGTCAAAATGCTCCAGATCTTTTGTGCCTGATACCAGCTGTTTGCTTTTGCAAAAATGGATATCATTGTGTTGTATACAACAATGTCAATTTTTTCTCTAAGATTCTTACTGCTTATCAATTCACTGAACATGTTCATTGCTGCGTCACAACCCCGAGCATCAGCAACTGCCTTCAGAATTAAGCTATAAGTGTGGCCAGTTGTTAGCTCACTAGCCTTCATGGAGTTGAAGATCTTTAAAGCAATATCAAGCATTCCATTCCTCAAGAGACTTGAAAGAAGGGAATTACATGCATGTAAATCAGGTTTAAGACCTGAAAAAGTCATCGACTTGTATATCGCCAATGCACTTTTCGGTTTATTTTGCCTGCTGAGCTTCAAGATCCTTTTTGACAATACCTCCTCATTCATCTCTTCTAAGTACATAATCCCATCCTCAGCCGAATTTTTAGTTTCTTCAAGAAAACTTGAAGATTGGTTTGTATCAAGATTTCCAATATTTGTATTCATCAAACAGTCCTTACGAGACAATTCCAGCTTATATACATCATTGGTTGAATTTCCTTTTTCAACATCAGAACTCTCACTCTCTCCGTCACACGCGGATTCAAGCTCATAAGGGACATTCAGAGCTATGCTGCACAGGTTTTTCACTTCCTTGAAGCCAAATAAAACTGCTGGCAACTTTAGCTGTGCAAATCCAAACATAGTGCATTTTTCAGAAACATACACTAAATTAGAACCATTAAAACTAAAACACCCTTTCACTTTTCCAGTATAAAGAGCGAATATCTCACGTGGGTATCTTAATTTAGCCCTTCTTGAATAACAAAATCGATTGTTCTTCTCATTTCCATCTAAATAAACTGCCAAAGTAGGTAAGTTGTTTATCACATGTACCATAGTCGCTGCACAAGGTACAACAACCTCATAAAACAAGAATTTCTCGCCTAATTCAAGACTAGAAGCCACCACCTGAAGAAATTAAACTGAGTTTAAGCACAACGATAAATTAAAGTTTCTACCTTTATCATTCAACTTAAGAAAATTAAATGGTTGACAATTGAAAGAGGAGGAGTATACATGTCATATTTGTTATCCGCAAGAACCACCCAACCTAAAAACTGTAACTTTTGGTTTTGCAAACAGCTCAAAGAATTGGAATTTACCTGAAATTTAGAAGGTATAATAGATACAGCTCGAGGGTAACTTGACACAAATGGAGACACAGAGGAAAACTGACAGTTGGCCTAGCAACTAGCAAGTAAAACACTCCAACTGCACTTTAGGAAAAAATTACTAGTAGGATATTTGAGGGAAAACGGATTGAAGAGAATTTACAAAAATCTAGTGGCATAATGGGCCTCGAATAACGGGGCTTAGATAAGATCCAGCCCATTGGGAAAAAATCAGAAATGACCAGATTTATAATTGATAATTAAAAAATAGTCACAATTTAAAAAGTAATAAAAATTTAGTCATTTTTTCAAATAAAGATAAAATTTGAAGAAAAACACCCTTAGAAATCCGGAAAAAATCCTGCATAATATGTTGGAGTTCGAATTTTTTACATATGAGATTCCAGCATAATGTGCTGGAATTTCATAATGTGCTGGAGTTCCACCATCATATGCTGGAAGTTTATATGCAGGAACTCCATAATCCAGCATATAATGTTGAAACTTTTCATGTGCCGGAGTTCCAACATAATATGCTGGAAGTTTATACACAGGAGCTCTATAATCCGATATATTATTCTGGAACTTTCTGTGTTTTAGCAAAATAGTGACTATTTTTTAGTAACTTTGTAAATGCTAGTTATTTTTCAATTATCAATCCAAAAACTGGCTAGCCCGTACTATTTTCACCGCTCTCTGCCACCGCGAAGCAACTTTTGTTCACCACGGCTAAATCCCGAGTTATTTTCACATATATCCACTTTTTATGTGCCCAATCAAAAATAATTAAAAAATAGTCTCAATCTAAAAATAGCCGACCCCCCTCTCTCACTCTATGAGTTATGATTCACTTGCTACATCCGAAGTAACTTATATATACTCAATCAATCCATTCTTTAAATGCACTTTAAGTGAAAACTAGTTGAGATTAATTACATGAATTAGCTGAGTCCGTTGCATATTATTCGATTTATTTCATTCCAACACCAAAAGTTGTCTTTTAAGACGAACTAGAACTCTTTACTGTTAGAGTATTCTCCAAATCTCGCATTTGCTCATCTGCAGATATATACATCTTTAACCAAATTGAAAGGTCTCGTAGCAAAGGCAAACAACTTATTGTCATATCTTTAACCAAATTAAAAGATCTCGTGGCAGACAACTTATTGTCATAGAGGAAAAGTAGCTGCAAACTTGCAACTGTAATTCGCACCATTCTCCCGATATGTTTGCTACTTCTTTGTACAACTATCTCCTTATCTTCAACTAAAGGGATCAGACTAAGATAAAGGTAATCTCATCATTACATCCCAGGGGCACACGAAAAAAATACAAAAAAATAACAATTCAACGGCCATAAAAAGGGCGATTAATGACGAAAAAGAATGTCTAGAGGCAGTTGCAACATTTCTTACACTTAATTCTTTTCCCCAAGAAGGGGATGGCAGAGTTTCTACCTTCGCTAGAAAAGCAGGTAATAGGCTGGGGACCGGGGAGGGGAGGGGGGAGGGAGAGGGGGAAGAGGGATTGTTCTTAACCTGAAAGAATGGCAAGACTCGGGCTGCACAAGAATCGCATTTAATTTTTCAAAATTTACATGGTGTGACTTAACTGCTTCACAACAAACAACAATAAAATGTTACAGATTCCAACGTGTCACTCAAATAAGATGCACATTTGAGATCATAAAATATACAAAGAAATTCTAGAGGTGCTTGTTACAACTGAGACATAATGGACAGGAATAGGTTTCCATTGTACTGCGCTGGTCAGAGAAGTTTGGGAAGTGGCAAGCTTGCGGAGAAACAACTCCATGTCACCGAAAGAGACCTTCCACTGAATGGCTCTACGATTTGATCTCTCAGTGAACAGCACCCGCCAAGTTCCCAAATCGATGAAAACCGTCTCTAACACCTGTGGATAAAGCAATATATCAACTGTAGGCAGTATTGCAGTAGAACAATCCAAGGACTTTTATCATCTTTTTCCTATCTGATCCACAAAAATANAGACAGTGATGCAGTAGAACAATCCAAGGACTTCTATCATCTTTTTCCTATCTGATCAACAAAAATAAATAAGATAATGAGAAACATGATTCAATATATAAAAGGTTAACAGCAGAACTCTCCGCCACGTTAAATTGGCAACATGCCAGTGCTGAAATAAAATTGCCAATATTTATGTCAAGCATACAAATGTAAATTTTGACAACGTAATACCTGCATTCATGCATCACTGTGATCTGAAGCTTCCTCAGAATCAGACAAGGGCAAGAGGGTACATATCCCAAGCACATGCCCGTTTAGGCACACATAATACTCAACTGCATCTTCATAAGCACCCAATCTACAGCTGGCACTAGCTGGCATCATTTTTGCTTGCAGCATGCTCCACAGTTTCGCCTTACAGTAAGGGCACACTTCTGTTGGATGGAGCTGAGCCTCCCTCTTAATCAACATTTTACGCNTTTACGAACTTTTGAGGAAGCAAAGGATTTAAATATTCCCCGAAAAAATCCAATATCCCCCTCATCTCCTTGGTCAAGATGCTCGCAAGGATCAGAAACATACAAAACATCTGTCCTGCATTGTGGCAACAGAAAGCTCTTTCCGGAGGTCCTAGAGAACCTAGTTCTATAAACAAAGTGTCCTGGAATGTGGATGCTATTGAATAAGCCACCTTTATTACATCCAGAGCAGTAAATAAGAAGCTTTCCAAGAGCCCTCCAGTTCCCATCAACACTATGACTCCCACTAGACTGTAAATCAAGCATCATTTTGGGAGCTCTAGTCTTACAAAACTCCTTCCAGAGCACTCTCTTTGCAAGGTCATCAAACCATTTGCATACACAAGATAAAGTTGCAATCGACTTAGGATTCCAATTCAATTGCTGAACAACCAGAAATATAATTTCTTCGCTAAGATGCCCTTTTGTACACTTACAACTGGCTGAGTGTATGCAGCGATACTGCTTAGTAATGATCATCGTCTACAACTGCAGCCACCACAATTGGAATGACAACAAAAGTTAGATCATATATTTCTAGTACTTTCACAAAGATGACATCAAATACCAAAGATACTTCAAATTGGCTGTAAAAAGTGTAGGATCAAGGACTGCTTAGTGGCATAAACAATGAACATATGACTCTAGTCGACAACCCTATATATGAACCAATCATGCTAGTATGCTGAATATAAGATCAGAGGATTTCCAAAAGCCCCATTCAATAGCAAGTAATCTCTTTACTTATCACTTGATAGTTTTACTTTTACCACATCGCCATTGATTGATTTAAAGACCATATTAGATCTCGTTAATGAAATCATTAGCCAATGATAATTATCAAAAAACAATTTACCCATGAATGGTTTTGCAGAACCATAAAGACTAGAGGTAACAGAAAAGAAGTATTCGAGATTTAGAATCATCGTCTCTTTGAACATAGGCCAAGATCCATGAGGTCAATATCGCAATTATACTGCTCCAGAACTTCGTTGTACCTGTAAGCTGAGGATGAGTAAAGATAACATAGCTTTTAAACAAGCTTAGAGATTTGGACTCCAGAGGGTAGAATTTAAAGATGGCACTGGTTCAGAGCTTACAAGTGTTTGATTTCACAGCCATTAAAGGATGAACTTACTGGTCCAGGGCCGGCTCTAATGGTCTAGCTACTAAGGCTTGTGCTTTAGGCCCCCAAATTTGGACGGCCCAATTTTCTAGAAATAATAGGTTTATAGGTCAATAAAATAAAATGTATAATATTTTTAGCTACAAAAGTAGAATTTTTTATATAAAAGGAAACAAAACTTTTTTAGATATGTAAATAAAGTAACCGTTTGACTTACTTACAAATGGGTAGTATGAATATTTTTCCAATGTGTGAATCGAAATTAATTTGACAAGGAAAACAGTACAAGTAGAAGATACTATATACTCAATCAAATAAAAAGGACTGATTCTTTTCCAAATATTTATATTGCTTTCCAAATAGTGTTAACAGTTCCTATAACAGTTGCCTCGGCGGAAACAACTTTTTTAAATTTAAAATTGATAAAATCTTAGCAAAGATCAACAATGTCTCAAGAAAGATTAAATGGATTGGCTATATTATCAATTAAAAGAAATTATTGAACGAAATCAATTATAATTTTTTTTAAATAACTTTTCATCTCAAAAAGCTAGAATGGTAGACCTCACATTAAACTTTGGCTTCAGGCCTCACATGTGCTTGAGCCACCCTTGTACTGGTCATAGAAGCAGATGGGATATATTTATGGCTGGATGCCAGTTCCCTATATCTAGCTCCAAATAAACATAGGATCGTAAATGTCTCCTAATATACAGTAGTATCAAATATGGAGGTGAACAATATGCTTCAGTTGGGAAAGCAGTCTGACAATAGAGCATAGGGGTTCGGCTACTCTAAGCACAACAAGGAATTGTAGCTAGTAAGAAGAGCCTACTTGTGGTTTATTTCTACGCTTCATGCCCATTTAGTATAACGTAAAATGTTTTTCTGGGAATCATTCATTTTATAGTGTTTGGTTGGTCATAAAAGTAGGTGATAAATGGTAATCGTACAACAAGTAGCATAGGCTATAAGGATAATGTACTGGGTTTTATTTCTTCGTATTAAAGGGTTGACAACAATGTCTAAGTGCTGATTCAAACAAGTAGAAAGTAAGAGTTTGGACATTTAAATGAATGTTCTTATCCCCCTTATGGTGGAGATAGATCCCTTCGAGAATTTTTTTTTCATTGTTCAACATAACCAAATATTGGAAACTGACTTCGTAAAGGAAACCATTTTTCGCAGCACCAAGTACAACGTGCATCACTCAGTGCAAGTAAAAAACCCATTCTAGATTCTAGATATCACATCAGGACTTTGTAAAGAAGGAATAAAGAGCAATACTGTTCATTTTCTATAATTTAAAACCATGGAAGATAGCAAAAGTTTGAAATTATTAGAAATCATAATCCAACGTTTAAATAATTGGAATGATTTAGTAAACAATTACACATTTATGACTTTCACTCCAACAAACTAATAGTGAAAATAGGATGTAAAAATTCATATTTTCCCCTGTTTCGGAGAAAGTTGGTCTTTACACCAAAAGCCAGATCAGTACAAGCAACAAATTTGCATTTATTATCACATAAGAAGCAAACACAAAAACAAATCAGCTAGTGAAAATCACATAGAATTATAACAAATTGGAGCTGACGTTGCATCATGCAGCTGAAGCAAACAAAGCCCTATCAATCCAACTCACATTTCTTATTCTATATTTTAGGAATTAGGGTTTTTGTCTCACGAGTATAAGAGGGAAGGGGAAAGTCAGAGAAGCAGGAGCTTACAACTTGGAGTCGCCGGTGAAGAGATCGGAGAAGTTCGTCGGAGAGAAGCAAATTATCGGCGGAGCGAGCGAGAGTGGAGAGTGGTGGTGGTTGGTTGGTTCAATGGACTTAGAGAAAGAAAATTGACTGAGCCGCTTCAGCTGACGCCTAGTGCGGCGTCATTCGGAATTGTCCAGTTGAAACTAATCAAATGATAATTTGGGACCCGTTTTTCAAGATACTTGGGCTTGTCAACATCACACGTAAGGCCCAGTTGTCTATCGATACGATAACCCGAACCCGAACCCGATTGTCTTATGGATAAAATCCTCAAATAGTCACATCTTTTCCCCGCTTACGCTATGAGCAGAAACTTGTTTAACAAATATTATACCTTTCTTGATCCATTGGTAAAACTTTTAACCTTTCTATCTTGAAGTTCTGCCCATGAGACAAACGGGGTCAAAAATTAAAAATCGCCTTAAAAAATATCATATTTCTGCAATTTTTGACATTTTAGCTCCATTGTTAAAAAATATTCACCGTCCTAAAATTTCACAAATAGTCACTTTTTAGCTTGTAAAATTTGAAATTTCATGACAGTAATTATTTTTCTAATACAGAGACTAAAAAATAAGTAAGCCACGTTATTATTACTTATCCACTCCCCGAGTCTCCCACAAAGTCGTTCGAATTCAAGAGAGCATATCAAAGAACATTTTCAAGTGTCATTACGAAGGCAATGTAAAAAAAATCTCAATGGGTTCAGAAACCACACGTTTCTAATGTCCAATTAAAATATGTGGATCTAAGATTACTCATGTCACCAGTTTAAACGGTAGTCATTTAGTTATTAAATTGTTCTTTTTAAGACTTAAGTTATAATTATGTTATTACTACTATTAGATTGGACTTTCAGTGACAGAAAATTGAATTTGAGCAAAAATCAAAGCGGCAAATAATCTATGAGCTCGACGTGAGCAACTTCAAAAAGTTGTAGGAGAGTATTTGAATCCGGTTAACCTTATTTGCATCCAGGATTTCTCTAAAGGAA